ATTAGACTTCCGCTTGTATAAAGACATCATTTGAAGCTTGTAATTGCGTATTCTTTGAAGAGTAAGAAAGGATTGGCCCTAGTTGTAGCACCACCGACTTGTGTGTTTCACACACCATTAAAGGAATGGATTCGATTCAGTCCAAAAAAAAAAAAAGGAATGGATTCAATTTGGGATGATGGCCTTGGTTAAGGTTTAGTAGGGACTTGATATTTGTAACGTTTTCAATATGGAGGGAGCATGTTTGTGTGGTCAATAATAGGCTGACACTTTGATTAAGATATTTAGGATTTCAAGTATGAGTGTAGACATGACTTGATGTGGAAAGTCTCGTATTGAATGGAATTGGTTTTAATAAAAACATATATATAAATCTAGAAGGATTCATAAACTCAAACCTTAAGGTTTTGGGCTAAGACATGGTATCTTTAGAAGTGGTATCAAAGTTTGTTTTTATTTGGAACTTGTGAAGAGACACATATTAGAGACAATTTCATTCAAGATACTGCTTAAATGTGTGCATATCTCTTAGTAGAAATTTGAACATTAGTTCATTATTTTATAAGGGATTAGTCTCTTCCGTTAAATGTAACTTCTATTGGTGTGAGGAGACAATTTTAAAATCCATGACTGCACCCCGCGTTTAGAGCCCAAAATGGGACTGTGTTACATCTTTTGAAGCCCACATGATTAGGCCGACCTTGGTCATGGTTCCGACAAGAGGGGAGCCGATACTTATGTAGTTAATCATGGACTTGAATTTGAAGGGGTATACAAGAAGTAGGAGTAATAAGTTGAAGGCAAGTAATTGTTAGACCACTTGAAATTTTTAGGACATATTATTGTGATTAAACAATTTACATAATGTGCTTTGCCTGCATTTAAAGTTTATCTGTTTTTGTTTTTTTTTAAATAAAAAGAATATAAAAAGTGGATACATATTAAACATTTTTTTCTAATGTAAACATGTTTTTTACATTGTAATATTTGCATGAGAAAATTATAAGGAGAATTGTTATGAAGTCCCAAAAAATGAACGTAATTGCTAAAAAGTCCCAATGATAATAGAGCATCTTACAATGACAAGTCCCAAGATAAAAAATGAAAACTAGGCCATTCATGGGATAGGATGGGATTAATTTTCATCTCGGGTTGGGATGGGACGTCATGTCTAGTTTTCCCTTTATAAAAAAAAAACTATAATTTTTGGTATGAATTGTTTTATGTTATAATGTTTATTTTTCATTAGGCTTCTAAAGATAAAAACATTAAAAAAAATTATGTAGGAAGTCCAATTATATAATTAAAAAAGTGTAAAAACAATACCATAAAAAAATACCTTAAAAGAAACACTATGCATTGTCATAAATTAAACATGAGCAATCTCACAAGGTGTGAGCAAATTAAAGGGAATGTAACAAAATTAAGAAAAGGCATTATCACGATTGAAAGGCACAGGATACATACTTGCAATCTAACAAGTGTATATCTTTGAAAGTGTAATAATAATGGAGGAATTAAACAGAAGTTACCTTAAAAATAATAAGCGAAAAGCAAGTATAGAAAACAAGAAAATGCTTCAGAATTGAAGAAAGAGTGGTAAAGGATGATGCATACGAGTTGTTGTTGCGAGTGATTGGAGGATAAATCTAAAGGCTGAGATGAGAGAAGCGGTGGCTGCAGCTACACCATTTGTTGAGCACTCTATCTATACCATATCTCGATGCCATGGAAAGAAATAGATATTTCACCTAGTTTGTCAGAATATTCGGGCACCCTATGCAATTAACCAGCGAGTGGTAAAATTAAAGGTATCTTCACATGTTTATGTTTTGGTCATATTGAAATCCAATGTAAATCTACCTACCCTATTATATTTTACTAGTTATGTCCCAAAAATCAATCTACCTACCCTATTATATTTTACTAGTTATGTCCCAAAAACCAATGATTTAATAGTTAAGAAGGTGCATGCTGTGCTTAAATTATTTGATGTTCAGACCATGGATATAATTTCTTAATGAAAATTGGAATTCGTCTGAGGCATGTGATTGTCGACAATTCTCAGTATTATATTACACGGCAACATATGTATTACAAACAAACTGAGTGTTGTTTTCCCATGAATTTATAATTATAATTAAAATGACAAATTTATAAATGACATATTGTAATTAAAATATACCAAATGTGTTGGTTTACCCATGAAATTGTCGTTTTTGCCGCAGGTTGTCATATTATTTTGCGTTTTTTTTTTTTTGGGATTGTTTCCGACGGTTTATTGTTAGCTACGTTAGCATCAATTTAACATCATACGAGATTTTTTTTTTTTTTTGCAAAGAATTAAATATAAAGATGCTAAATTATTTAGTATCAATTTGACGAAGTCCAGATGCTAACTCTATGTTTGGTATGAGTGAATTAGAAGGGGGGGGAGAAAAAATTTTAATGAGTTCAATTTTAAAAATTAGAAAAATGAGGTTATAAAATTTTGATGAATAGAAGATGTAAGATAAAAGAGTAAGAAAAAATGACTAAAAGCTTTTAACTCCACTTCTTCAATTTTTTAAATTGAGCTCATCAAAAATTTTCTTCTCCTGTCCTTCTATCTGTTTCCTTCATACCAAACTGATTGCTTCTACATTCTATGATATTGTAATTGCAAGGCGCTTTAATCTTCTAACCCATTCAGATCTGCATGGTTTCAATTATTGTTGGGATAAAACTTAATCCGTCCTTTGTGGATTAGGTCCAAGCCCAAAAGATTTTGGGTCCAGTTGCGATTATTAAAAGATTAGGATAGATATTAGTAAAATATCTAATCTTTAATTTAAATTTTGATGGGAAGGGTTATTTGTGAGTAGAGTATGTGTATTTCAACATACACGCATGATCAGAATTTTTTTTTTTGGCAGACTAACTACTCTTTCTCCTCCCTGAAAGACTTCTCCAAAACTCTTCCTGTCTATGCATTTGATGTAAACCATAGGTCTGTATCCATATATGTAAACAGACTTCGTATAGGCAAAATGCATACCAAACATCACCTCTAGGTACATCTAAAACCCAATAATTATTTTATGCTATTTTCTTCCGGCAAGCTAGCATTTCATTTCAATTTTGTCCTCTTGGATTTCTAATTTCACTGTTTTTTATTGTTCATGGTATGCATTTCCAAAATTAAATAATAGATCAAAGCATCATGTTAATCACAATACTTTTTTTTTTTTTTGCAAAATATTTGACTTTTTGATATCATATATAACTTAGGTCGATAATGGAGCATATTGAATCTGATAACTTGACCATGCTAGATGTCAAGCGTGGATGACGTGAAAAGTATAGTTTTTAATATAAGACCCAGTTAACTAATTTAAAGACATTAAAAAAGTTACAAAATTATTTAATTATAGCATATATTACATGATTTCTCTAAAACACTTACGTGTATCATTAGAGTATATATCAAAATTTGGAGAAAAAAGACAAATATAAATACTTTAAGGTAATTTATTAATTTTTTAATCTCAAAATAAGTCAACTGAGTGCTATATTAACGCCTAGAAGTAATAAATAGAATTGATATATACAAGTGAATGAATCTATAAACAAGTCTTAACATTTTAAGATGTGGTGTCTTCCTATTCAAATATCCTCTCATCTCCATGCCCCAAGCCCATTTGTAATCTCCCACCAGTCCGCAATATAAATTATTTTAACTAATTTATCAGTATCAAAAAATGGTAATTAAATCATTAACTCTGTTTCAAATTGAAAAAAAAAATTCAATAAAGAAAAAAAAACAAAGAGTTACATTTAAACAATATTGTAGGGGCAAAATTGATAAGTAAGCATTAATTACTCTTTAAGTTACTTATATTTTACACCAAGTCATTCCTTTAGAAACAACTTATATTGTGAAACTGAGTACTCCATAAGGTCCGATAACGTTCATATTATTCTTTCGAGCCTTTCACATATCAGTTGACAATTTTGAACTATTATGTATTGACTATTTATATTTAATATGGCGGCACACGAGTAAAGGGTAAAGAAAACAAGAGTGGGGAAGCTGAATATTGAGAATTTTTAATCAGCGATGATATGAATTATTGGGGAGCAAATTTCATGCTCATCCGTTATATGGTACAGATTTATAACTTGATGGTCCGTATTTATTCCAATTTTTTATATTTAAATAATTTTTTATTTTAATAGATATAAAATTTAAAATCAAGATAATCTTATAATTGGCACTTCTTTTAAAAAATAAATTTATCATTAAAAAATTATAGGTTAAAAAATTTTAAATGCAAATCATTCAGATCAAATTTTGAAGGGTCTAAATTTTGTCATAACAATGAGTACGCGATACTCATCATTATGATAAACACTAAATGAGGACTTGAACTATTCCATCTCTAGCGTCTTAACTTTTGAAGGCAACAGCTCCAAAAGTTTGGCAAACTTTTAAAAACTGAATGAAAAATATAATATTTACAGTAAATTGTATCATTGACAAATTATGATTAGAAAACTAAAATCGTATTATATTATAAATTTCTTTCAATAACAAACAATCCAACGAGTGTCACAATTTATTCTGATTATGCTTATAATGCTTGGGTTTCTGCTCTTTTATGTTTCCATTCCTTTGTCATTTTTATCCTATCAGACAAACCATTTTCGAGGTACTCTTCTATTCTATTATGAGCCAAACACAAACATTCATCATTTGTGTCTGTAACATCCTACTCTATATACCTTTACGAAAGTAGATTTAAAAACTATGGTTGAGAGTTTACACTAAAAAGGTGGTATTTTTAAAACTTTTTATCTGCTTTGACTCAAAACTTATAACTTTAAACTTTGAAAGTTTTATATGATATAATAAGACCTGAAATCATACTACCGTGATCTAATAACAACAACAATTTATCAGAGTTATACAGATGTTTCTACAGAAAACTCTACTTTTTTGTTTCAGCGTTAATAAATCATACTTGGTAAATCCTAAACCATTCATACTATAGATAGGTCATTAATATATGCATATATGTATGCTAAGTACCCAGTTATGCTAAGTTACCCCCAAAACACCACTCCTTATGGAGGTACATACATCCCATGAGTGGAAATTACATAACCTCACCAAATGAAATATAAGCATCACAAAAGGAAGGGGGAAACAAACACAAAAACATTCTGGATTAATTAACTAACTAAACACTAAGCTCTTCTTTCCTTCCACCTTAGCTAAGCTTCCACCAGCTTCTCTTTTCCTTTGGATGAACTGGGCCCTATGGTTAAATAGAAAGGAGGGGTGAGATTCAAAGAATCCCAATAGCAGTAATTATATTTCATATATTATGCATGGTATAAAACTGAGCATGCATGGAGAACAACACCTTACAAAATTACCGAACTAAGTAACTAACTGAGGCATATTCGCTGTTATTTAACTGAATCTCATATAACTGTTGCGCATAACTGAGTAACTGAATAACTAAACAGCTGCTAACTGATTAACTGAGATTAACTGAGCATATACATACAGATTAACTGAACAGCTACCAACTGATAACTGAATAATTGAGCAGCTGCTATTTGATTAACTGCATAACTGTGCAGCTGCTATTTGATTAACTGAATAACTGTGCAGTTGCTATGTGATTAACTAAATAACTATGCAGCTGTTATCTGATTAACTAAATAACTGTGTAGCTGCTATTTGATTAACTGAATAACTATACAGCTGTTAAATGCGCATATACTGGACAGCGAAATGCATGCATATGGCCATGGCAATAACTGGTAAGGCAATTTACATGTTCTCATGCTTAACTATAGCATTATGGCACAAACAGACATGCAACCAAAGCAAAACATATAAAATGATGATTAAAGCTACCTTCCGCCTGCTCTCCTGTGCGGGTACCTTGCTCTTGGTTTCTTCTTGGTAAGTTAGGACGCCAATTAAATCCTAACATTTCAAGTACATATATAGGATGAGTTAAAATTGGGATTCTGGTTAACCCATAACTAACTAAATCTTTTTATAACCCCTGCTCAAGTGTACTCTCTTCTTTTAAGGTAGCTGGTCATTTTGGCCCAAAATTTACACTTCATCTACGTATTTCTAAAAGTTTCTAACACTTCCCCTTTCTTATGTTTCTCTTAACTTCCTATTCTATTATGATTTAGCTAAGACAGTATGATTTAACTTAGTTATTAACTCTTCATGCTTCTTAAATAATTGCTTAGCATACAGGAACACAAAACAACAAACTTAAATCATCATTCAAATACTCTTCGATCATAAATAGCTATATAGAACATTAACTTGACATTTAGAGATATTTAAAAGGAAATTCAAATTAGTTCCTCAGGTCTAATTCACTCTTATACATTTCACAAACATGGATGGTTTCATCAATCATTTCGGTTTCCTTTATTATCTGTTTTGAACATTTAATCTCACTCACATAGCTAAGAATAATAGTTTAACATCTAAACATATAATTTAGCGACTACGCTTGGGCATTTGTTTAACACTATATATCAGCAACTTTATCTTTATAAATACCAAACAGCAACTTCTGTTGGATCTTTAGCTCTAAGCCTTTTATTCTCTTCATTATATTAAGCCTTTAATAATTCACACATTGTCATTCTTAATAAAACAGTGACCGTTTTATGTCCTTAGCCTTTAAATTACAAAACATGAGATTGTAGTAGTAACATAATCAATTCTCACGCAGCAATCATGACTACTCTTAATAGAATTGAGAATTCCTTACTTTCAGTTATCACATATCACTCTAACCATTATAAACAGTGGGTAGCATTTATCATTGGTAATAGCTACAACAATATTATATCAATTTCCGACATTCAAATTCAATGAGCAAGTATCGGCACATCCATTATGTCACATTCATACAACTTTATAATCATCTCATTCAAGTACGTTGCACATTTCTCATTCAACAAGTATTTTCCAGATTATTCAGCAAACTTTTCCAAATTTAATATCATTCTTCAAATTGCCAATTAGTCATATGTTTTAGTTTTCTAAATGTTAGTTCTTTCATGAACAGCACCCATTTTAATATCTTCAAACACACAAAGCTGTCATTATCATATACTAGCAGCATATTTAACAATCTGAATACTCATCTAATATTTCAGGTATTATATAGAAATTTATTACCACTTTTCTTGCTTCAATTACAAACTCAAAACATTAGAATAGTTCAAATGTCCACAGATATAATAATCCAATTTGAAACACGAATCAGCAAAATTCACATCAATAGCATTCTCAACATATTTCAGCTTCCAAAACAGCAATTAACAAGTTCAAATCAATTTTCAGCATCCATCTCATCCAGCAACAATAATACAACACGCATATATTTATATATATACATATATAGCTTAGTTATTCAAGCTTCAATAATTTAGTTTGGCCTCATGACAGCATCCTTGTTAAATCTGAATTATCATCCTCATTTACTAGCTATCATCATTTTCACTTAGCTTGATTATCATCCAACAATCTCACCGGTTCCCTTAAGAAATCTAGCAGCATTTTAATAGTTTAAACCACTGTTGTAATATCAATAATAGCAGCATTTTGAAAGTTATATAAAAATACTCCAGCTTCACGTATCCAGATCACACAACCATACACGTATATAGTTCTTATTCCTACGCTTCCTTGAATTGAAGGTGATGGCGTGCACATAGACAGCAACAAAGACAGTACAGTCTGCTATATTTTCAACTTTCAAAATACTTACATATATAATATATATACATGTACACACCGATTCGGAAAGTGGCAAGTTGCAACACAGACATGTATATCAGTTTAAATTCACATGCAATCTGAGAACATAGATGAGCCCAGATTTCAATCAGTAATCATTCAAAGTATTCAATAATGCAATTTCAGTTTCAGCAACTTGGACACCGCAGAAGATCAAACAGGGGCGTCCTTGCTGCGGCTAAATACCAAAACAGATTTAAAACACAAAGCTTCAATCTCGGCAATATGACCCAGAATTTGAATGACATCTACCATCAGTGTTCAAATCTTTTCTTAAGTTTACTCGGTAAATTATTTTCCTTTAGTTTTAATCGCCTCTAATGCCCCCAAAACATCACCTAGAATCCCATGACCCTCTCCCAACTCAGACCACTCTAATCAAAGAAATCAAGGACGGGAAGAGGCTGAACGGCTTACCTTGGTTAGACTCTAGTGTTGCATGTGGAATTCGGCCACTCTTCTCTCCTCCGCTGCACACTTTGATCTCTCTCTCTCGTTCTCAATCTCTCAATCGGCCTCCCACTGTCTCTCAGACTCTCACTCTAATATACACCATCAAGCTTATTGGATCCGATTCTTGTCTAACAAAAAGAAGGGAAGCGTGTTGAAGGAAATCTGATGCAAGGAAACAGGTGTTTGAAGGTAGTGAAAAGGAGGCAGAGAACGTGACACAGAGGTAAAAATTTGGGAATGACCATTGAGGGGAAAGACACGTATAATTGGGGAAAAAGGCAAAAAGTTATTTATTCATTTATTTTCACAAGATAACTTATCTCAATTCTCCCCTTTTCTAAATTTTTACTTTAATCTTACATAGTTTTTAAAATTGATCTTTAGCATTTTGTAGGAGTTTTCTTTCTTTTTAGCTTCTTTGGCTCACTAAATAACTCTCCTAAATTTTGGAGGCTGAAAATTAACCTATAACTATATATATATTTTGAATTTCTCAAGAAAATAAGCCTTTTATTTAGGAAAATAGATTTTAAATTATCTCTACCCTTTTATTCATCCATAAACACATTTATCTCCCAAAATAGTCATCTATAATTTTTTTCTTAGTTATTTTAGGTCACTATATATTTTTAATAATTATTCCTTCTTTATTTTCCTATATTTCGTACTCAATAGTAGACTTTATAGAATAATTATTTTCTTGAGGCCTTAACTAAATATTTATGCCTCTCAAACATCTTATAAATTTGTAGCTACAAAATTTCAGATATTACATGTTCCATTACACAGGCTTCAATTTTGTGCATCACTAATCATATTAATAATAATTTTATTAATATCATAACTTACCATGAATGCTATATTGTTTTTTTTTTTTGCTTAAATAATATATTATATTTTTTTTGGCCGACATATTATATTATATTGAAAGCCATCTTTTTTCTTTTAAAATGAAAGATAAGCAGGGCCTGACGATGTAGATCAACACAAAATTTTAAATGGCATCATCGTCATCATTTATTTGGCAACTTAATGGCGACAATGATCATTTTAACGTTGACAACTTGACGTATAGGTCAAGATAATTTAATAAACATTCAGTTCCTCTTTAATATATATGTAACGATCTAAAATCATAGCCATATACTTGTTCTTTCTAATATATATATATATTTATATATATATATGTAATGGTCTTGAAGGGGAAAAAACACAGAGAGAACCATGACAGGTTCTTGGGAACTTCCAAACTAACATATGGATATCCAATCAATAGCTTAAATTAAGGGACCCAAGAAATAATTAGAATATTGGGGCTCACTACTTACTGGAACGAGTGAAAAAACTAAAGATACCTTCACGTATTTCGGTAGTAGTCATAATTAGATCCAATATTGTAAATCTACAAAAATGAATGATTTAATAGTCAATTCTCAGTATGATATATATGTGTATACTTGTATATATTACACGGCAGCATATGCATGTCAAACAAACTGAGTGAGACAAAAATTGTAATGATAAATTACAAAATTATAATTAAAATCTATTAAACATGTTGGTTTCCCCATGGTGAATTGTCCCTTCTGCGGCAAGTTGTCAAATTATTTTACATCGTGGAGGGCAAATTGTTTCACATGGCTGGTTTAGTCAATTCGTTACCACCACACATCGTACAAGATTATTATTTTTTAAGAATTAAATATAAACAAGAAAGACTTGCGAGATCTATATGATGAGTAATGTTGTCGCTATGATGTTGGAATCCTCATCTAGTGCTTATCACGACGATAAAATTTCAACCATCCAAAAGTTAAATTCGAAAGCCTAGAGTTAAAATTTTTAATCTTCAAAATTTTTAATGACAAATTTATTTTCTTAAGTGTCATTTGTAATATTATATTTGTTTTAAATTCTATATCTTTTAAAATAAAAAATTATTTAAAACATGAAAATAAAATTTGAATTGAATTATGACCATCTAAAATGAATTTAAGTAGTCTAAATTAAGATGAGCATTCTATGCTCATTTGTTGGTGGGCATGAAATGTGCTGCCATGAAGGTATAATTGCATGTAGGAGAGATATACAAGGCACTTTAGCGCTTTAACGCTTGAGTCTTTTAATTTAGAGCTGCATTTTATTGGATTTGAAATTAATAATATGTTTTTTTTTCCTGGGGGTTTGAGTCCTATGGATGTATATATAATTTTAATAAAGGGAAAAAGACAAAAAAAAAGAACCTGAAAATTGTGAAATCTCAATTCAAACGCCCAACACTTCAAAACCCCCGGGAGAGAAAGTGGTATATGCTATGGTATTTTATAAATATAGTTAAATAAATAAAATGTCTTTTTTCAAACTTGTTATTGTCAGTATATTTCTTGTTATTTGTTATTCAACACTTGTCATTATCAGTTCACAACTTATTAATAAGCTTTTTGAAAAAAAAGGCATTTTAGTTATTTAACTATATTTGTAAAATACCAGATTAGGCACTACTTCCTTTCTTGGGATTTTGAAACGTTAAGTGCCTAAATTGGAAATTTCACAATTTTTAAGTTTTTTTTTATTTTCCCTTTGATAAAACTCAATAGAGGTATGTGTTACTATTTTTATAGAAATCAACAATAAACTTTGCTAAACTAATATTTTTTTGAGCAAAATTATATTAATATATTATAGAAAAACAAAATAGATTGTTATTATGGATTATTTTTTCAATTTTTTTTGTTGCCCACCCAGTTCACTAGAACTTTGCTCCGACTACATCTGGATCTGACTCACGTCGTGTTCCTGGCTGTGGTGGGTGAGTCTCCCAACGGGGATTTTTGCATATGTTGAGGCTCGAACTCGAGACCTCGTTTAAGCGATACCAAGCCGCTTACCACTTGGATCAACCCCCATTAGTTCTTTTTTCAATTGTTTGAATCACGCTAGGTATATACTTTTGATATATGTTCCCTGGAAATGCAAGGGCCTTTAGTCCCTTAATCTATAAACAATGTAGCCCAAAAAAAAGAAAAGATGAAAGAGACGCAAAAAAAAAACAAGGAGATAAATGAAGCATGTGAAAAAGTATTTTAATTTATAATGTGTTATATGGACATATACATTAAAAAAAGTATTTATAAATTGATTTACATGTTATTTCATATGTTATGTATCAGGAAAAAACGTGTTGTTAATTCCAAATCCAAACTTGTCATTTTACAATCAGAATTTGTTATGTTTAGATGAATTGTTGCCATAAGTTGAAGTCAAAAGTAAAAGAGTTAATTTATATTTTTGTTTTTTTTCACCATGATGCTGATAAAGTTTGCTGGCTTAATGGTCATCCTTAACTTCGGGAATCACCAAATTAGGGGATCAAATCCCCGCAACCTCCCTTTCCCCGAAAAGAAAAAATTCTCTACTGCTGGTGCCAAAGCTCTTTACTTTCTTTCCTATCATTTTAAAGTTTTACGTACTCGAATTAAAATATCATAATTTCAGCCTTTTTTATCTGGAATTTTCCCTTCATTCAATGGTTTTGTCTATAATATGTAATCCTTTAATCTGTTATCAGTTTCACTTTGTCTATTTATACATGCTTCGCCAATCGCCATGGAATTGGCTGTTCTTCATAGGATGGAAAAAAAAAAAAATAATATATTGATTCGCGGCCAATTTAAAACAATATAAAACAAATGGATTATTACCCGGAAAAAATTAAAGAATAATTTAAGCAACAGTCAAATATAAATTTTGAATTGAAAAAATTAATATAAATTTTGAAAATACCTTCATAACAATCACAGACATATGAATTTCTTCAACTTTAAACGTTTGTCGAGCCAAGAATGAATCTTACTAAACAAATATTGAAAAAAAAGACTAATATCAAAATAAAGGTCTCAATTAATATTTTAAATTATAATTTAACTAATTGGACGTGAAAGTAAGCTTCTAAATATATATAATTTAAATTAATTTAAACGTTTTTGAGCATTAGTGATTTGCAATTTATACATATGTATATCTTTTAATTAAATATATTTATTGTTTTAAAAAATTTAAAATTAACAATTTTACATTTAGGATACAAATTAAATTTCTTTTAAAATAAAAAAATTACAATATTACCAATAAAATTAAATCAAGTATAAGCTTTAAAAACTTTAAAATCAAAAGAATAATGACATTTTTCTAGAGCCGTCATATTACTAAACAAAATTTTGGTTTTATCTTCCACCATAACCATAATATGCGGGATCTCAAGAACATGACCTGCAAATTTCATGGTGGTATTAACAGAAAATCTTCTTCTGTATATCTTTAACAATTGCTTTGACATCAACGGTGACGTCATCTTCCGTCTATCAGGTTTGAATGATACAGCAATCGGCAATATAAATCCTCGTTCTTATTGTGGACATAAATATTCAAATGAAGTTTTAATATACACTTTTCTAGTATCATTATCAAGCATGAGCATTTTTAAAGATAGTTACATAACCAAAAGTGAAAATAAATGGCCATAAGCATATATATATGAATCACCTCCTGTGTCCTCTTTAATTAATCCTATCCAATTTTTTGTCATGCTCAAGAATATGCACACTAATATGGATAACCGATTGGATTAATTTAATTTGATGGCTACAAAAATTGCAAGAATAGAAGAACCTGGTACAGGAAATTGTTTCACTAGTTAATCACGAGTACGCGGCCCAAACTGGAAACAAAGTCGGAGGATACATCAATCAAATTACAATATCACCCAAAGCTGGAAACTTACTTCACTCATAACAAAATCAGAGTACACAATAATCAAATTCCAACATTAAACAAAGCTGTAAATTTACTTCACAAATTGAAGGATGGAAGATATGGTTTGAACAACTGTGAGAAGGATGAGTATCATTGCAGCAATAGAAGTAACAGTTTGGCAAGGTGTATGACAATAATCATGTCTTAGAGTTGCCCACAACTTGTGCCAATGATCTTCACAATAGCCATTCAACCTTTGGCAGATATCAACGTATTTAGTACCCATAGTCAATTGATTGACATTTCCTAAAAGACCATTGAATAATAAAGCAACATCATTGGCATCACCTAAATAG